AGATTTAAAACACCATAATGGCCCCATGCCACAGGAAATGTAAGTCTTATCCTTATTTTGCCAGAAGCTGGACGTAAGGGCTGTTTCCTGACAATTTCTACATCAGTTCCACTATCTCTTCTGTCTCTACCATCATCATTAAGTCTCAGTTTAGTGGCACATGATTTGGGCAAAAGAAAACACCATTCCCTGTCAATCCAATGTCCTGTTCCACTCTGAGAGAGATGGGATAGTTACTCCTTTAAGAAGACTGCCTTTGCCAAAAACATTCTGTCTTCTTCTTCAACCTCATATATTTCTATTTATCAGTAAACAGTCAACTTAGAACAACAGGAAATTTCATGAAGAGGATCCTTGGAGAATCTAATAATATAGTCCTCAAAATATATTTTCTACTGTATATATGGTCCTATTCTTTAAATACGTGAAGCACAAAAATCTCTTAATCAGTAACTCTTGCCTATTTAATTTACATAATTATATAAAACTAAATTAATTATTTATAACATAATGAGAGTTAAGATTTTGTATGGACACAAAAACAAAATTAATCTTTTTGGAATCAATATTAAAAGTGTATCATTTTGAGACTCAAAGTATTTTAGGTATAATTGAGAGCCTTACAATTAAAAATAACTAGAAGTTGTTACAAACATGGAAATATAGAGTTTTGCATGAGTTGTCTGAACTATTAAAGTCTCCAAAAGTAGATCATTTTTAGTCCAACATTAAAAAAAAATTCTGGCTGAATAACCTGAGGTTAAACATAATCAGATGATCTTTTTCCACAATACCTAATGAAATGGATAAAATGTGATAAAATAAATATAGCCAAAGGCAGCCAAGGAAAGGGTTATATATGCCATAAATTTGGAGATACAAAAATGGAGGCAGTGTTCTTATGTGATAAGTCAGAACCAAATTTTGCTTTTTTTAAATTAAAGATTTCTGGCTAAATACATTTAGTGTAATCCCATGTTTTGAGGGATTGGAGGAAATGGTGGGTTATATAACAATCATTTATAGAATGTACCTTTTCAGAACTTTCCAACCTCTTAGAATAAAAAAAATTCTGGAAAAAAAATGAAATAAAAAATATGTTTCACTAATACCTTAATATATAGAGAAATGTACTTAACATATACTTATGCAAGGAAAAATTGTGGGAAAATCCATTGACAAGTAGAGCCCACACCAACACCAAAGATGCACAGAGGTTGGGCTTGCCGTTTTCCAGGGGTGTGCACTGAAAAGTAGCAGGGCAAAGGTGAATATGCCACAGAAGGAGAGTGGACGGTGTACCTGGCTGACTGGAGTATGCTTTGGTATAGGATATTTAATGGATCTCAGGAGAAGAATTAGAATCTAGCCAGAGTCAAAGGGTATACTTAACCCTCCAAATTCTTTCTTTCTCCCATCCTCTCATCCCAGGGCCATGGAAAAGTAGCACCCAGAGAAAAGTCTAGATGAACAAAAAAATATCAAAAGTTTTGTGAAAGAGTGACAAGAGAAATGCACCCACAATTATTCTAATTAAATAGAATATCTGGGCAGAATAGTCTACACCACATATAAGCAGTATAAAAATAATGACATGATAGCCATATAATCATTCTTTGGAAAATAAAATTGAGAAAAAAGGTAAAATAATATTGAATTTAACAAGTGGTTAAAGTAGATAAAAAATCCAGTTGAGGGGCAGGAGAATAAGCTAATCCCCATAAGTGAGTCATATGCAGAGGAGAATCAGTAGAGCATAAATATTTTCAAATGAATTACTCAAAGAGTTGACAAAATACAATGACGTGAAACTGGGAATTACAGAACTAAAGATTTTTTAAAAACTTGGAACAAAATATTGAATCTAATTAAATCTAGAACTAAGAGTATGTAACTGGAAGCAATAATGATTGCAAGACAGAATATTAAGGTCATAAATCATGAAAAAATAAGTAATAACAAGCACCAAAGATTAGGAGCTGAGAAGTGAAGCAGGAACAAATGTAATAACATCGATATTAACTGAATATTAATTTTGTATAATTAATATGTGCAAAGCACAATACTGTTCAGTTTCTCAACTGAGTAGTGGCTCAGGCTTATAATTCTAGGACTTTGGGAGGCTGAGGCAGCACATTGCTTGAGCCCAGGAGTTAAGAGACCAGCCTGGGCATCATGGAAAAATCCCACTTCTACAAAAGATACAAAAATGTTAGCTGGGAATGGTGATGCATGCCTGCAGTCCCAGCTACTCAGGATGCTGAAATGGGAGGATCACCTAAGGCCGGGAAGGTCAAAGCTACAGTGAGCCATGATCAGGCCACTGCACTCTAGCCTGGGTGACAGAGTAAGACCCTGTCTCAAAAAATAATCATGATAATAATAAAAATCAATTTCTCAATGCATTATCTCATTAATCCTACAAACAACCTTATAACTACAATGTCTTTGCCTCATTTTATAGATGGCAAAATTACTAAGAATGGTGATACTTAGTAATTTGCCCAAGAAAGTAAAAGACTAAGATTCAAATCCAAACATCCTGACACCAGCTTTTCTTCTTACTGATTGTTGGGTGACAATAACCTCATTCTGAATTATTATCACAGGTCTAATTTAATTATTTTGACTTTACTATGTTTCACCTAACTTCCTTTTAAAAAATAATACATAGACATTTTTAGGAAAATAAAGTCTTTACATTAAAATACAAACAAAAAGGCATTATTATAAAGTCAGGTAGACGAATGGGGTGAAATGATGTTTTTGCTTAATCTTTAAGTCAATAAGTAACATTCTGAGAGCCAGAAAGCTCTCCTTAAATTATGTAAGGGTAGGCAGTACAAGGCTGCTAAAGCAGAGAGAAAATGCTTGCTAATGTTAGTGACAGCCAATTCAGGGCAGAGCTGATGTATATTTTTATAGAAATTAAAGACTTTTCAAGCTAAACATGCTTAATACAATTGCATACTTTGAGGAAGTAAAAATGATGGATTATATAACTATCATTTATGAAATGTGCTTTTTAAAACTAAATTGATATAGTACATAGTCCTACTGAAATTTTCTTTGTTTTCTTAGTCAGTATTTTCCATTAAAACCTAGAGATTTCATCAATTAAACAAAAAGCTTCTTTGGGCAGTATTTGCTTGAACTTAGTTAACTGTACTTGTAATTTTTTATTTCAAACGAGCAAACAGTTAATTTTATTGCAGTATTAGAATAACACAAATATATGAATATATGTTCCCAAATGCAATTTTCCATTTTGAATAGAAATTTTAAAATAATGAACTCTGCAAAATTATGATTACATTATCCTTCGGCCAAGTTGTTTTATCAATTTTTTAAAAAATAATCAGAATGACTCTAAAATAGAAAAATGCTGAAAAAACAAAATTCTGGCTTGGGGAAAATTAGTAGGAAGGATTTTTAACAAAAACAAGTAAAAGTGACTGTTATGTCAACATTTTAAAAAAGAATTTATATATAATCTTTATAATATGAAACTGTGAAATACTTCAAATAAAAAATTTATTGACAGCTACCTACCAGTTTTTAATGAATTTTTAATCTTTCATTTCCTTTTCACTTCCTATATCTATATGCATGAACAATTACTGTTACCAATCTCTTAGGACAAGGAAGTTGATGAGCTTATCTTTAGCTCTCCTCCTGTATATAGTATTTAGTGGGTGCAGAGTTCCAAATTTGAAGGTCAAGATGATTTGAGAGGTTGTAAGACCAAAGAGAATGGGAAATAATTAAGATGGAAAATATTTTCAAAGCTGGACCATGGTTGTACTAGAAGCTAAGGGGTTGCTTATTTTATGGTATTTTGTATTGCTTTTTTTTCTCTTTTTTTTTTTTTTGTTTGTTTTTGAGGTTTAATTTTTGTTTTTGAAAGTATGGTAAAATGCAAACATGAAAAACATCTTAAAATAGCAACCTAGCTTAAAAATATACAAATAAGAAATACAGCAAGCGCCTGAAAGAAATATCCAGCTAGATAAAACATGTTAAGACTGATATAGCAATTGTTTAAATAAATGAAAATTAAACAGTAGTATGTGTTTCTATACTATTTAGTACTCCTTTTGTTGTTTTCATTAAATGTGTTGACTTTGAAAATGAACCATTAGAATAAAAACACTGAAGGCACTGTTTGCAGGATTGAGACTCAAAAGGCTAAGTCAATGTTAAGAACAGGAATTTCTTCTTCTAATGTAGTACAAACTCAGGAATTTTAGCTTATGTAGTTTCTAAAATAAAACAAAAAGGACCTTTGTGATCAATGTAACTCTAAATGCAGGACAAGCACCTACAGTTGCAAACTGTCTCTAGTGTCCTGTTAGAGTACAGATTGCCAATTTAGTGTCCTTTTCTCTCTTCTTTTCGTTCTACTGGAGTTCAGATACAAGTAATATGAACTCTGTTGTCACCTATGACCTTTCCATAATGAAAAAAAGATTGGACTGTTATCTCTTGACTGTGAGACAATGTAAAGTTCGTCTGTAAAAGCCTTTTCAGTGATACTCAATTGTCCTAAGGCTGATAATCAGAGGTGTAAGGTAATTCTCAAAACAATGTACAGAAATTTATAGAAAAACATAAACAACCAAGTTAGAAATAAACTAGCTCCAAAGAGGCTGTAGTTGAAATATCATTAATGCCTACAATTATTTTCATCCCTATTGTTTAGTTTACATTCTATAAACAATAAATTTTTTTCACACAAATCTATTTTTTTATTCAAGGTAATGAATGATAGCCGCATACTTATGACTTTACTACAATAATATACTGTCCTATACTCTCCTAAATTTAAAGTGTTTGATTAAAATAGTAATGGCTTTCTCTATAAATTGTATAGTTTTACTTAAGCAAGGAAAGTTAACACTTGCCATTAAAACTGTTTGAATAGAAAAAAAAATTCTCAAGTAGTCTATATTCTGAAACATTGGATATTTAAAAATATTAAACTTAATAAGTAGTTGTTTTTTCCCAGTAAACAGAATTTATTAGTAAGCAAAGTCAAACTGGCATTGCCCAAGGAGACAGTGCTATCAGAGCCTTCATGAGTGTAGAACCCGCCACTTGTCCAAGGGGCCGCGATTGGGAACATACTTGACTCCACAACCATCAGGGATGATGTGCTTTTTGGCCACCTTGTCTTCAAATTCGTCAGCATTAAACTTGGTGAAGCCCCACTTCTTGGAGATATGGATCTTCTGGCGTCCAGGGAACTTGAACTTGGCCCTGCGCAAGGCTTCAATCACGTGCTCCTTGTTCTGAAGCTTGGTGCGGATGGACATGATGACTTGACCAATGTGGACCCGGGCCACCGTACCCTGGGGTTTTCCAAAGGCACCTCTCATACCTGTCTGGAGCCTGTCAGCCCCAGCACAGGACAACATCTTGTTGATACGGATGACATGGAAGGGATGGAGCCGCACTCGGATGTGAAAGCCATCTCTGCCACAACTTTTCACCATGTACTTGTTGGCACAAATACGGGCGGCCTCCAGGGCTTCAGAAGACAGCTGCTCATATTCATCAGACACCATGTGGCCACAGAGTGGGAACTCATCCACTTTTGCTTTCTTTCGACCCAGGTCAAAGATGCGGATCTTGGCATCAGGAACCCCCCGGCAGAAACGAGATTTGGGGTATGGCTTGTTCTTACAATACCGATAACAACGAGCTGGACGGCGGCCCATGGCAACGCAGGAACCTCGGCAGTGCGTTGAAGTAAAAGCGTGCTCCCCGAACTGCGCTTGCGCGCGTCTTACGTGCGTTGCTCCTACTCGCGCGAGAACCATAGAGTCCTGAGGAACATGTGACCTCTCTCTTTCACAACCTGTCAACCATAGATGCAGTGACACGTGGGGCCTCCATGCCTGCGTAACCTGATGCGCTTGAGGTAAGCCGAGAGGCAGCTGCGGGTAGACGCCCCTGGGCTGCTGGGCGAGGACTTGGGCCTCGCTCCAAAGGTGCAAGAGCCACTTCCTTCCTGCTGGCCATCTTGGGCTAGGAGGCCCTGCCTTCAGCTTTGCCTTAAGTATAAAAGAGGTAATTTCCAGGCAGGAGGATTGCTTGAGCTCAGTTCAAGACGAGCTTGGGCAATATAGTGAAACCCTGTCTCAAAAAAAAAAAAAAAAAAAAAAAATCAAATAGCTGGACATGGTGGCTCAAGCTTGAAGTTCCAGCTATTTGGGAGGCTGAGGCGGGAGTGGAGACTGCAGTGAGCTGAGATCGTGCCATTGCACTCCAGCCACAGAGAAAGACTTTGTCTAAAGAAAAAAAACATTTCTGGAATTTGAGAAGAAAAATCCTTCCAGTTATTCAACAAACTGTTTGTAGTTTGGCCAATTCATTTTCCACATCTTGTATCTCACTGTCAGCATTTGTAGATCAATTGCTCTTTCTTGTAGTATGTGGCCACCTTCCCTGGATAAAGTGGCTTCTTGGCATGAGTGCTGTGATGAGACTCAGGAAGAGATGAGAGCAGGAGTGGAGAGAGGGATAAAGAGAAGATATCTGTTGTATCTATAGCTTGGCAATTGTTTTATAAACATGAAACTGTTTTCTTTATTTGGCCTAAAGAAATGATTTTATTATCAAAATGATATATACAAAATTGAAACATCAACTAGATTTTTTAAAACTATTTTCATTTTCAAATGTTAAAGCTGCTGAAACCATATAAAAGAGTAATAGTTTGCGCTTTAGTAATCTTTTGTCCCTTCCTGAGACTAAATTTAATCTTTTTTTTCCTTCTCAGAGTTTGTAAAAATATTATGACAGGAATCAGAGTGTAGGAAAGGAGGAAGAAGATAGAGGAAAAGAAATTAATAGTTTACAAACCCTACTTGAGTTTTTCTAGCTTTTTTTTTTTTAATGTTGTTTCACAAATTCATGACATCATGGAACAAAATCACTCCAATGTGAATGTATTCTACCAATGCTTTTTCTTTAAGGGAGAAAAATAAGTTGTTACAAAGTAACTCCTGCCCTTAAAGTGAGTGGAGTTTTACAAAATACATAGGATAAAACAATTAAAACTCCCAATGTAGAAAACTTTCTCACCTTTAAGAAAGCTTGCACACCTCCCTTTTCTTCATTTCTTCTTTCCCCCTTTTCTCAACTAGTTTCTGTTTACTATATGCCTGAATATTGAGATAAAGTAGCTAACACTGTATTCCTCTCACCAAGCTTACAAGCCTAGGAGAAGATTTAGATGTTTCTCATATGTCATTATATTACAAAGTGTAAAATGTGCCAAAAAAGGAAAAGCAAGGTAAGCCCTGAGACCATGGGATGAGTCTAGGGATAAGACCTTGATCTAGATTGAGAAATGGAAAGGGAAAACTTTACCGGGATAGCAATTTCATGTAGTGACTATGGGCACATGGGATCTGACATATGCAAGGTTTGAAGCAGGCAGAAATATGGAACATTTTAAAGAACTTAAAGTAAGGCCAATGTGACTATGAGTGAGAGGTTGAGTCACATAACATGAGCCCAGAGTGTGTGTGTGAGAGAGAGCTTTGTGGTCATGCATATCATACAGGGCCCATTTTACCAAGTTAGGAACCCTGATCTTTGATGCAAGGCCATTAATGAGCTTTGCATAGGTTTTATCACTCTGGTTATGGTATGGTGAATAGACTGAAACAAGCCTAAAAAATGTATGCAGGGAGATCAGAAAGGAAGCCTTTGCAATGCTGCAGAAAACACATCATAGCTTGAACATACTTTAAAATATTTGACTTTATATACAAGTTAGTATCTTTTTATACTACTACATGCCCTGAATCTATGATAGTGCCTAGGAGAGAGGTGTTTGTGAGGCAAAAGGAAGACTCCCAGAGTTTATGTGCAATGACACACTCACACTTGCCTGATCTCCCACCTGACTAATGTTGCCAAAACCCTAGAATTCTCTGACCAGCAGATGCTGTGTTGCTGTCGGGGCCTGTCTGCATAAGTTTCTTTCTTTAATCCAAAGCTTACCAATCCTGGTTTGTCCAGGTCTGTACCAGTGTTAACACTGAAGTCCTGGGTCCTGCAAAACCCCTTAAAACCAAGCAAAGTGGGAGGGTTGGCCACTCTACTCCACTTATGCATGAGGCCCTTCACAGTTGCAGATTAGGAGGGTAGAATGAGAAAAGGGAGGGCCACCTTGGGATCCTCTATTTATACTCCTTTCTGGAGCTCAGCAGATATTAGAGGAAAGCCTGTGGGAAAATGCATTTAGTACCACCATTCTGTTCAAATATTACAAGCATTCCTCGCAATCGATCCCAAAATTTTGAGTGTTTCCCTATCTCTCTACTCTTGCCATGCACGGCATATACCGTGCTAAGCAAACTTTGCCAAAAACTATGTAAAACTTGTCTGCTTTGAAATATATAACTAAGGGAGACAGTAATATCATGGAAAATAGAGATGGCTTAAAGAATGGGTAGAACATTCTCAAGTAGAGATATGGGATAAGGTAGGAATGAAGCAGAGCAACTACATAAGACCATTAAGGTGTATGAGGACAGAAGTATGTCTGGTCTCTATGGTTCATTGTTTTGTCCCCTGTTTTTGGGCATCAGTGTGGCCAGTAGCACAATGAATACATACACTAAGGAGGTGCAGTGGGGTATTGATAAACACATAACAACCTGCTCATAGTGGGGTTGGGAATTTGAGGAGAAATCCCTGATTTGTAGTGTTTGCTGACATTTTTGGTAGAAATACTCTCTCTGTCATCAGTTTCGAACATCAGTGTGATTTACCGAACACAAAGATGGGGAGAGATGTGCACAATCAGCTTCTGTAAGCCAGTGTTAGCCAGGTCCAGCATGCTGCCATTTGGTGTGTATACACAAGACAGAAAAGATAAACTTGTCTTGCTAATGCTATTAATGCATACCCAGTAATAATAAATTTTAGAATGATCAGGGAGAGATCTTTTTTAGGAGCCCTTAGAAAGTGGGCAGACATGAATGTTTCAACTTGATTCAGCTTCAACTGTAAAACAGTTTCCCTCTGTGGTTTCTCCCTCCTGTTCCACAACCCTTATGTAACAGGCCTGCCCTATTCTTTACTTACTGATTGTAAGTACTTTACTTATTGATTACTTACTTGTAATTAGCACTAGACAGTGTGAGAAATACAATCAAATTCCAGGTATCCTCTGCTTTCATGCAAAGGCTGGAAAATAACAGTTCTGTGTATTAGTTCCACACAGCATTTACTTTCCTTTTTTTCATAGCATCTTTCAAATGTTTCTAAACCTGACTTTGTTCTCAAAGAAGAACATGCACTGGAGTCTAATATGTTGAGTGGCACACACCATGGATGCCCTCTCCTGCTACAGGAGGCATCTGCATTGTTGATCATTCAGTCATTACATAGAGTACCATCACTGGGTGTTTTACAATATACTGTGATTCATAGATCATGTTTCACTTAGGCTCTCAATGAAGTATGAAGGCTCCACTGATGACTAACAGTCATTTTCATCTGCATTTCTTAGTAGCTTCACACTGGGGGCTGTAATCTCAATGTTTTTGAGACTAGGTGAGCAATTTGACTGTCTATATACAGTATTCCTAGAGTTGGGTCATGAATATAAAAGAGTTCTGGCTATGACTGGCCTTTTCTTCAAAATCAGTGAATTGTGCCTATTGTCATGGCTAATGGGTGGTCATGCTGCCAGTCTCTCATGCACTTGATTCACAATGGTCTCTTATCTATTGACAAGAAAATGTGCAAAAATGCACATATTTTTTAACAGAAATATAGTCAGATAAGTTTAACTGTTTAGCCCAGAGCCCTAATAAATATCCTTTTTGACTGGTATTTTTGACATTCTTCTTTTTCTCTCTTTGGGAATCTTTTTTTACTTTGGATATAGGAACTGAGCATGTACACTGGCCTTTGTGCTTTGTTTGTAGAGAATGAGTTCCCCCCAAATGAATGACTTTTGACATTGTTCCAGAAAGCTGAAAAAAAGTAGGAAAGAAATCAAGGAAAGGTGGCATACAAATATGCTTACTAAAATTTGGTTGATTTTTTTCCCTTATACTTTTTAAATTTACTTGTTTAGGTTTCATACTTGTACAAAATATATAAGCCATCAATTAGTTTTATGATGATAAATATTTAAGAAATGCTATCATAAAGATATTTTATATAATAAATAATTTGAATCAACATAGGACTCTACATCAGTTTTTGAAAGTCCTTTTCTCTTAAATTTGAGAAACACTGAATTGCTGTTGGGGTGCTGTGTATGAAATTTGCCTCCCACATATTGAAGGCATGGGCTTCCTATGCTTTAGAACCAAATTCCTGTCTATTAATTTAAAAAGCATAATGATGGGAGCAATGTTATTACTTCCCTTGCTAAGTTTACTTAGCAGTAGTTTGTGTGATTTACAACGTTTACAGAAATTCGTGAAGCACATATTTATAAATATATACATTATTTAATCATTTATATCACAACAGCCAACTCTTTTTCAGGTTAAATTCATCTTGTACTTTTAATGGATGACTACTTTATCCATTAAACAGTTTTTTTTTTTTTTTAATTTTAAAAGTGAACAATCAGCTTTAGTAATTACATTATGGGTTATTTATGAAACCACTAATTCCAGTTGATAAAGCACTTTGGAAAGCTTTTTAAAAAGCTTTGCTTCACTTATTTTTATAGAGGAATATTTGGTGCTTCCCAAATTCATATGTTGATATTCCAGCCTCTAAGGTGATGGTATTGGGAGGTGAGGCTTTGAGAGATAATTAGGTCATAAAGGTGACACTCTTGTGAGTAGATGAATACCATTATAAAAAGAGACCGGAAGAGTACACCAGTCCTCTGTTTAGTACATGAAAATATAACGTAAAGTTGGCAGTCTGCAACTGGAAGAGGACACTCAGGAGAACCCAACCTGCGCCACTTTAATGTATGACTGCCAGTCTCCAGAACTATGAGAAATAAATTTCTGTTGTTTATAAGCCACTAGTCTGTAGTACTTAGTTACAGCAGCCCAAACTCACTAAGATGTCTGTCCAACCTTTTCATTCATTCACATTATGATTTTTCTCCATAGCAGCAAATACAGAGACTTAATCAGAGAAGGAAAAAAGAGGCAAGTATGTATGGCTGGATATTTTATAAGGCGCCATACTATTTGGTGCTAAAGAATATTTAAAGGCATTCAGGAGGAAGCCATCCCTGAAAGCCTTACTTATTTCATCATTTTACTTGAAAGCCTCTGTATCCTTTGGATAGAGGTAGATTAACAATTTTTACATGCATTTTAATTTTAAAATTTACGTCTTAAATTTATTTGAATAGGACATTTTAACATAATTAAATTACATTGCCAAGTTATTTCTGGAAATTTAGCAAATTTTTGAGGATTACTGTGTTGAACTTAACTATATTGCCACAGCATACCTTGTATATAATACAATAATAAAGCTAGGTTCAGGGATGACGTATATCATTTTAAACTATAAAAATATTTTTCCATACATTACTTAACTTGATTCCCCCAAAATAATTATCTTAGAAATCACATAAAAACCTGTCAACCTGATTTTTCAAATGAAGAAACATCAAGGGACACCCAAAAATAAAATTTATAAGTGATGGATTTTGAAAAAACTCAGCTCTTGTGTGAAATATTTCCCTTCAAAATTCACCATTGGAGGACAAAACTGTTGCAGACTGTTACTTGGCATCTGAAAATTAATCTGGGTTTAAGATAAATTGTGAATCAATAGTGGGATATATTAAGGATCATAGGATCTGAAACTTATATTCTGATAATACTTTTTAAGGAACAAAAAATAGGTTGTAGAGAAAAAAGAACCCTTATACACTGTTGGTAGGAGTGCGAATTAGTTGAACCATTGTGGAAAGGAGTATGGAGATTTCCTCAAAGAGCTAAAAGCAGAACTACCATTCCACCTAGCAATCCCATTACTGGGTGTATACCCAAAGGACTATAAATCATTCTACCATAAAGACACATGCATTCATATGTTACTGTAGCAGTGTTTACAATAGCAAAGACATGGAATCTACCTAAAAGCCCAGCAATAACAGACTGGGTAAAGAAAATGTGGTACATATACACCCTAGAATATTATGCAGCCATAAAAAAAGAATGAGATTATGTATTATGTGGGAACATGAATGGAGCCAGAGGCCATCATCCTTAGCAAAACTAATGCAGGAACAGAAAATCAAATATCACATATTCTCACTTATAAGTGAGATCTAAATGAGAAGAACTTAACGAATGCAAAGAAGGAAACAACAGACACTGAGACCTACTTGAGGGGGAGGGTTGGAGGAGAGAGAGGAGCAGAAAAGGTAACTGTTGGGAACTCAGCTTACTAACTGGGTGATATAATATGTACAAGCCCCCGTGACACGTGTTTACTGTGTAACAAACCTTCACATGTACCCCCAAATCTAAAATAAAAATTAAACAAAAAAGAAAAAGGAAATAGATTATGAACACAAAATTAGAGACAAGGTAGATTTTTGTTTGGATTGAAAAAGAAAATAAATTGCAAATTATAAGTAGCTAATAAACAGCATTTACATCGCAAGCATTTAAATTTTTTTAAATTGCCTAATCCATCTTTATATTCTATCTTCTTTATATTTTTCTCGCTGCACTTGACCATTACTTCCTAATGCCTTTATGAAAAGATTGAAAGCCTAAGTCAGTATGTCCGCTAGTAAATTGTTTGAAATTTGTATTGATAATATATGTTTCTTTTGGCCTCACAACTCAATATGTATATCATATGTATACTTAGGATTGTTGTCAGATTGAGAAAGTCTTATCTTTCATATGTGAACTATAGTATTTAAAAAATTTTCATTTTTCTGAGTACTGACTACTCTCAAATATTAATGGAAAATCTTCATGAATCAGTTTACAGTTGATATCCTCCTTGTAATATAGCATTTGATGGGATGGAAATAACTTATACCAGTTGGATCAGAAAAGCTGATTGTCTGCATCTCTTCCCGACTTTTTAGTTCAATGACATAATATTGGTAGGTTTAATTGGCAATGGAGTATTTACAGCATTGGAAAAACTACAAATCCAATCTGTTTCTCCCTGGAGAGCTGCTTATTAAACATGTATCAGTATACCATTGTTAATGCCTTCTTTCAAATTATATGCTTCCTTTATTGGTTTCAATAGTTCATGTCAGGTCAGCCAGAAACTTCAGGCTTTTTCTAATGAGCTCAAACAATTTATTATTCTTCATTAATTGGATTGTAAAATATTAATAATCTTTTGCTTTTGAGACAGAGTTTTGCTCTTGTTGCCCAGGCTGGAGTGCAATGGTGTGATCTTAGTCACTGCAACCTCTGCCTCCTGGGATCAAGGGATTTGCCTGCCTCAGCCTCCCAAGTAGCTGGGATTACAGGCATGTACCACCACGCCCAGCTAATTTTGTATTTTTAATAGAGATGGGGTTTCTCCATGTTGGTCAGGCTGGTCTCGAACTCTTGACCTCAGGTGATCCATCTTGCCTTGGCCTCCCAAAGTGCTGGGATTACAGGCATGAGCCATCTCACCTGGCCAGTATTAATAATCTTATAGCCAGTTAACTGTAGTTAAAATATTTGCTTAATTTAAAACATTGATGTTATCTGAAATTTGTTTTGTCAGCATTTTGGTTCTTTATCGTTAAATACTTTCTATTGATATTATTCATCTGTATTGCATTTGTTTTATATTCTATTAGTTTTTACCAATTTTTTCCCATTTCTTAATAAATAAATTTGAAATTACTGCCAAATAAGGCTGTATATTTCAATTGTTTTAAGTGAAATGCTCCAAAATGTCTTTTTCAATTGCATTGAAAATAATATTTCATAGTTTGAATTATTTAAATAAATACTTACCTCTTTGGCCATATATCTTTGCATCAAAATGTCAAATGCCAGATGAGTCAGCATGGTGGTAGTCAGAATACTTTCAGAATTCCAACACTAGACACAGTAGCAATACCTCATCCATTCATTGATGTGAGTACAGACCACATAAACCACCCTATTAAATGTGAACTAAATGCATTATTTAATAAGTGTCTTTTAGCAAGATCCCCAAATTGCCAAGATATCTTCAATTATGCATACTTTGAGAAGTGTGAAGGAAAGTGGGAATACAAAACAGACCGCAAATTCTATAAAAACAATATGTGAGCTTATTGCTAGGGCCCATCCTATGGCCTGGGAAGGGACCTGTGTACGTGAAGATTCCCGAATCCAAAGCTTTATTAATTTTGTTAGAAGTTAATTTTATTTCTGAGCAATCGATATTATTGTTTCCTAAAATCTCTTTTCGTTTTTGCCTAAGTGGTGTTCTTCACTTATTTGCTTTCTAGGCATTTTCCCTAATGCCTTCAGAAATCTGTAATACCTAACTATCGTCAAGTCCTTTACTCACAGTAAAGTTATTTACTGTTCTAAAGTCCTTAACTGTCCTTAAGACCTTTACTCACAATAAGGACTTGAGGGCAGGTAGGGTATAAATACTGTTTACTCAAGTCCTTTTACTTACTAAAATGTGAATTATAGTTTTCAACTTAAAAGCATTTCTCTCTTAAGATTTCCAAAATCAAAGCCTTACAATAAAAAACATGGGTAATAATAGTAAACAATTTCAAGTAACCATAAATTAAGACAAATATTTTGGTGCATGAGACTATACAGATTCTTGTGAAATTATAGTTTATGTTTTAATTGGTTGAAGAAATACAACTATTTAATACATGCTGGTTTATTTGAAAAAAAAAAACCCAACCCTGTATACTTACTGAATTTTTTATAATGAAATAGATTCTAGAGGTATTACTAGTGATTTAAACATTAGAATAAAATGAAACACTAGAAGAAAAGATACAGGAAGTTATTATATTGTTGAAGTGGGAAAGGCTTATTGAAGCAAGACACAAAGAACAGAAACGGTAAAGGAAACTTGTGACATTGTAAAATATTTAAACATCTGCAAGATTAAAATGTGCACATATGTGTATACACACACACACACACACACACGCAAGTATATAGATATAAAGATCTCAGTACTGAGACACACAGAATCTCAAACACACACTATGTAACAGTCATAGTTTTTGACTTTATTTTTAGACAGTGTTTTCCGAACAGTGCCCTGGATTTGATCTTTGCCTGAAAGCTATTTCTGAATTTGAAAATTGTTTGCCGTTTGGAGAATCTGGGAATGAGAAACAGTTTTATTTTGAAATCAGCAAATTTTGGCTCTTTTATATTCAACCATCTGTTCATTAGCTAATCTCTCTCTTCATTTTATTATAGGCAAATAGAAGAAGCCAGGTGGCACTTTCAACACTTTGCCTGAAATCCCTTTAGCCAGATATCCTGTTCATTAAGCACATTTTCTGTTTTCTGTGCTACCACAGACAACAATGTTGCTAAACTTTCTGCCAGGAGATAACAATGGATTCCTTTTTTCTACTTTCCAGTCACATTTTTCTCACTTTTTATTAGGTACTCACCAAAAGCCTTTTCAAGTCCCTTCAGAATTCTATCAGTAATCTCAAGGTACTTCCAGCATTTTTCTGCTGTTAGTTCTCAAAGACATTGCCACTTATTTAAAGTTTGGGTAGTATCCCAAATCTGTGCCAATAATCCATGACTATGTTACCCTAAATTTAATGTCATGAAATAATAGTACCTTACTATTATCACTAAGATTTCTGAGAGTTAAGTTCAGCTATGAAGTCTTTGCTCAGGATTTCTTGTGCAGTTTTTGTCAGATGGTGACTGAAAACAACTTGAAGGCTTTTCACACACATAGTTTTAGTTGCCTGTGGCTGTTGGCTGGGGTCTCCCCTAGCACTGTTAATCAAATTTTCTACACTTAGCCTCTCATATGTCCTGGGATTCCTTGAAGCATTGTTTCTGTATTTTAAGGGATGGCATCTCAAGAGTGGAGTCAGTTTTTATGTTGCCCTTTACAACCTAGCCTTGGAAGGGTTGCAGTACCACTGCCACCACATTTTATTTGTTAAAAATTATTCACTGAAGAGATTTACGGAATGGTGAATAAAGGACCTATGAAAATCTATTTTTCCATAAAGGCAATATGAACACTGCCAAAAGTTGTCAAAATCAACTTTTTCAAAACTCTGGAAACTAAACTAAGACTTGCAACAGTCCACGGAACTTTTATTCTAGAATACTTGCTTCTCCTCAAGGACACTGAGCTTTGTGGTTAACTTGCCCTATGTCCATTTCCTCCTCTTCAGATCCATGGCTGCTGTGAAAATCAGCAGGCAAGCAACCACTAGGGGGGCTGACTGGGTAAAGAGCTTTTCCTAAAGCTGTATCTCCAGAGAATTGTCACGATTTGACTTGTTTGCTGATACCCTGGTAAAACCTCATACACAGGGCTGTTGCTATTTGATCTAAATCAGAGCTTGCTCAGTGGGAAAAGCTCTATTACTGAGTTGTTTTTTGGAAACAATCAATAAATAGCAATTGTTTAGTATTGCAGCTGCCTGAGGTGGAAATACCCATTGGGAAAAACAAGAGACTGGCCAAAAGACTTAAAAGAAGGATCGTGGGAATGAGATAGCTATAGGGAACTTTGAAGAGCTCTGACTTAATTCTGGGGGTATAGAAAACCACACACGTAAAGAGCTGCGTACATGCTCGAGAATTCTTGAGAAGGCTCTAATCTCTTGCCTTTGGCTGGCCTTGGGTCCCTCTGCATATAGAAAGTAAAGCCTAAGACAGAATTGCAAACTGCCAAAACATTGAAGGAATGCCTTAATATATATGTAAATCCCAGCCACATCCCGGTGTGTTTTAGCGACTTGAGGCCCTCCGTAGTTCATGAGATTAACTGGAAGAGACTTCTTCGACTTACTTATGCAACGAGGAGGCATCCTTGTGTGGGAGTTGTAAGCTGCAGAATTATTGTTACTTGGATGAGCCTACAATTTACTTCTTTCAGTTTTGGCTGAGAATTTGCGTTTGTAATTGTTGGCAGACAGAGGAAGAAAGTGTTCCACTCGGGTCCAAGGAGCATACAGAGAGAAGGCAGGGAAGAAGGAACATGTGCAGCCTTTCTGTAGAAGTCAAGGCAAGGTTGGAAATGCTCGTTCCCTGCCTGAGGGGCTCCAGGGTGCTGTGAGTCTCTGATCTTCACTGTAAAGAGGCCTATCTGAAGTTGGAGGTTGAGGCATACATTTCTGCACTTCTGGCTGGAAAGTTGAACCAGATTTTCCCAAAACTGTCATTTTTTGCTTTCTAAGTATGCTAAAGGCAGGAAAGGATTGGGCAGTGAATAGAAAGTAGCACAGCCAAGTTCTGGTTAGCTAAGCAGCATGACTGTCATAAAGTGTTTTTTTTTTTTTTTTTTTTTTTTTGGTCTAAAAACCAAAGTCTGGGGCTTTGGGCCATGAGGAGTTGGGTTATCGGATTGCTTAGTTTAAACTGCCAGGATGAGAAATGTCTCAGATGCTATTAAAATTAGGCCGCTCAGTTTAACTCTGCCTCATTGATCACCAACCACCTTCTTCACTCTTTTCGGTGACTGAGTTAAAACGAAAAGACACAAAGAGAAAAGTGGTCTTTCCCTTTCCCTCTATTATAATCAGGCCTTAGTCCATCTTGGCTCACAAAAGATGGAAAGAAAAATCTTGTCATCTTTGCTCTTGACCCTGAAGAATAGAATCTCAAAGAAATACCTGAGAGGAAAATTCTTTCCTTCACTGAAATTAAAGTTGGAGTGTTTGCAAAACTGAGCAAAGAAAGGAAAGTATTAGTAAACATCGCAGGCAACTTGCAGTTATATTCAGATTATTTTTCAATACTTGAGGAGGTTATACAATAAAAAGGGTAGGAGGGAGCCAGGAATAGAAACAAGGAAAAGAGGTGAATGAACTGCTATGATCTTTTAGGCAAACTGTTCTTTCTGTGACTGTTTTGTTCCTCCGGATGTTTGGCAATGGCCAGAAGGTGGTGTTCAGGGGCTCATTTTTTCAGACTCTGTGCCCATGCAATGCTGGTCCATCCTTCTGAACCTCTGTCTGCCAAGAACCTACTTCATTCGGCACAGGAGGTATCATTTTGGAAAGTGAAGGGACGTAGGCTTTTTCCACCTAATAAGGAGAACATCTTTGGGACCTTAAAAAGGAATGTGGCTCAGGAAAGGAGGGCTGGTTGGGCTTGGAGCTCAGGCCACGTTGGATTTGGGCACATCAGTCCTGACCCGCCCCACCTGGATGGTCAGCAGTGGTCTGTACCTGTCTCTTCCAGGGACTCCCTCACCCCACCACCACTCCTTGGGGATGAAAACTGGCAGGGGGAACATACCAGTATCACAGAATTCAGTTGCAATTTACAAATACCGTTTCCTTTCATCTCAGCAAAATGGGCAGACCCACCAGACCCAGTTCTGATCATGCCATCATCCTGGACCACATGACCGGAAAATAGATAACCAAGTTCACCAGCAATAAAATCCTGGGCCCAGGCAGCCTCCAACAGCATGGCTTCCAGACACCGAGGTAGGCCCTGGTGCATGGCAAGCCACAGCAACTGTTTTAGAGGCTGTCAGCAGCCAGGGCCATTGAGACCCTGGACAATTTCCTGGGATGACTGCCAGCATAAGTCTGCACGGTGCTGCTGAGCTGGGGAGGAGGAGGGAGCCAGGCTTTTCCTAAAGGTGGCCCCTCCTTCCGTTTCTCCAAAAAGTTTACTGAATGTGTAAATGTGAAAGTAAAATAAAATTTAAAGTATGTGCCAATATATATAACATATATACACACACACATAAATTTCTTCAGCCAAGAGTGGAAACCATGTTGATTCAGAGCAATTAAGAAAATATCTGTCCAGTTTTTCCAATCATTAGCAGATGACTAAGCCCACTGAGCAGTGTCTTTTAACCAGTACATACCACAGGGAATACAAACTTGAAAGAATTACTCAAGAAATACTATTTGTCAAATAAAGAGCAACAGTAGCAGCAACAATAACAACAAATGGGAAGACAGAGATCTGATTTCTTGAGCTGCCATGTGGTATTTAACCCAGTTTCAACTAAAATGTATGGGAACTCAAAGTAACAGGTATTATCCATAGATAGAAGAAAAAAAGAATACATGGAAACTGCCCTGAAGGAAGTTCAGATGTTGGTCTTATTAGACAAAGGCTTAAACTTAACTATTATAAGTATCTTCAAAGATTAAAAAAATCATGTCTAGAGAATTAAAGGAAAGTATGAGAATCACCAAATAGAGAATACTCATAAAAAGTTAAAAATTATAAAAATAACCAAGTGGAAATTTTGCACTTAAAGTATACAATAACCGAAATTTCACTGGCGGTACTCAGTAGCATATTTGACTTTGCAGAAGACTCAGCAACCATGAAAATAGGTAATTGAGATTATCAAGTCTGATTATCAGGTAAAAAAGAATAAAATAAAATGAATAGAGTCTCAGAGGAATGTGGGATACTATATGCATGTCAACATATACATAATGGTAGACTAAGAAGTGGAGGGAAAGAAGGGGACAGATTCCTAGAGAGAGAGAAACTACCAAAACTGACTTAAGAAAAAAAGAGAAAATCTAAATGGACCTGTGACAAGTAAAGAGATATAAATAGAAATTAAGTTGAATTAATAATCTATAAACTTCTTACAAAGAAAACCAAAGCCTAGATAGTGAATTCTACCAACTACTCAAAGAAGACTAAATGTCAATCCTGCACAAACTGTTCCAAAATATACAAGAGGTGGAAATACTAACTTATTAGTCAGTGTTACCTGACTACCAAAATTAGACATAGAAATCACAAGAAATGAAAACTATGGATGAATATTTATCAGTATAGACATAACATCCTCAACAAAACCTTAGCAAACCAAGTTCAGGAACATATAACAATGATTATATTTGTACCCAAATAGGATTTGTCCCCAAAATATATGATTGTTTTAATTCAATATAACATTAAAAAGAGAAAGTCTAAATGTCATTTATTAGACAGAAAATACTTGTTATCCGAAAAGACATATATAAAAAAATTTGACAAAATCCAACACCCTTTTATAATAGAAACTCTAAATAAATCAGGAATCAAAGAGGGACTTTATGTGATAAAGGGCATCTTTGAAAGCCATCAGTTAACATCATACTTAATGATGAAAGAATGAATAATTTTATCCTCAGAAAAGGACAAATATATTTTATTTCACACTTCTGCTCAGCAATGTGATAAATATTTTAGACAGCAATATGGCAAAAATAATACAAGAAAATGAAAAATATACAAAGTGGGAGGAAAGCAGTAAAATTACCTTCATTTGCAGGTGTCATCTTTGATATAGAAATCTAAGAAAAAAAAATATTTTGGAACCTAACACCTAACTTTAGCAAGGTTGCAAGATATGAGATCAATACATAAATATCATTGTGTCTTTCTTGAATGTGGCAATTTTTGTTTTCCAAAAATTAGGAAAACAATTACCTTATGTATTTGATAGTATTGAGAAGAAAATAGGAAAATATAACAATTTTCAAGGCTGTACACTGACAATTACAAAACTGTTGAAAAAATTAAAGATGTAAATTAGCAGAAAGATACTCATCTTTATGAATTGGAAGACTTAATATTGTTAAGATGGTGATTCACTACAAGTTGCTAATTGATTTAAAATTTCAATACAGGCTCTATCAAAATTATTGCTGCTTTTTTTGTGGAAATTGTTAATTAAGCTGATCCTAAGTTTGTATAGAACTGCAAGAGATCAGAATATTCATTAAAGTCTTGAAAAAGCCAAACAAAGTTGGAGGACTGACACTTCTTGATTTCATAACTTATTTAAAAGTTGCAGTAATCAAGACAGTATGGTCCTGGAATAAGGATACACACACACACACACACACACACACACACACACACACACACACGTGATTTATATGCTAGTTGACTATAATTGAGGACTCTGAAGTAAACTCTTTTATTTATGGGCACCCAAATTTTGACAAAAGTGTGAAGACAATTCAAAGTGGGGAAATAACAGTCTTTTCAACAAATGGTTCTGAGACAACAGCTATACATGAAAAAGGACAAGGCTGCACCTCAACTTCAAACCATGTAAAAAATTAACTCAAAATGGATTATAGACTTAAATATAAGAACTAAAAAATATAAGACTCTAGAAGAAAATATTATAATAAAACCTCATGCTTCTTATTATATAGCACCAAAAGGAAAAATGACAAAGGAAATAAAATAGAAAAATAGAACTGCATCAATTTAAAAATCTTTCATGCTTCAAATGACACCTGCAGGAAAACGAAAACACAACCCATAGAAGGGGGGTAAGTATTTCTTACATATTCACCTTTTCACACTGATCAGCATATCCTAGCTAACTTCATGTATAGATTTACTAGAGTTTGTCCTTAAATGTATTTTTAAAATACATAAACCAAATGGTCGTATACATTGGAAGTGTTTTAAAATGTACTTTGAAATCATTTTAGCTATTACATTTATGCCAGTTGAAACAATGTAAAAGATGTATAGAAAGTCTTTATTAATAGCATATGACAGTAGGAGCTGAACTGGCTGCTTTGCATGTCTTTTCTGCTTTGATATATTTAATACAATTAAAATGCATATATTTCACAAAAGAACAGTATTTTGAAAAACTCTGCATGATGCATATTTTGTTCAAGCCCAGCTTTTCCTGGAAAAACACACTAGCACTTTGTTTTCTTCATATTTTTAAAATAATAAAACAGGGATAAATTGAAACCCAAGAATGATCCTTTAGAGAAATATGAAATATTAAGGAAATTGCTTATTAATGATTCACTTAAATTAATGTGAAACAGTACTCCCAAGCAACTCTTAGCTAATTCTCAAATGCAACTCTTAACTAATTTTGAAAAACAAAAACCCAACCAAGCGTTTCAGGACCTGTTTTTCATAAAGCATCATTACCAGAAGATGTAATTCCTGATATGCTAAATATTGCAGCATTTATATGATGCACCAATTGTTTTCATGGATGATATGATCAATTGAAATGATTATTATAAAGCAATTAATTGGCTCCTGCAGATAAATAATATAAATATAATTAAAATGTGTGAAGACCAGGATATTACAATACACTAATTTTTAATTTCAATATTGATCCAGTGTTGCAATCCCAACTCATCTTTATTGTATGACGGATATAGCTTCACCCTCCTGGAAAGTGACTTATAGAAAGGATTTCACTTTGTCTGGCACATCAAGATTCACACATCCTCTCCTAATTATAACAGTGTCAGTTCCTAATCCAATCAGCAGCACAGTGAATCAGACACTCTCTCTTGAGTACAGCTGCATGAATCTGTCAGCTCCAAACTTGTTAAATCTCAGTGTTCTCTGGTATTCTTATCTCTGTTTATTAAACAAAGCCTAATTTTAATTAAGATTTAAGCTATTGTAAAAATTTAGATTGTGATTTATATACTATTCACCTATTAGTTATCCAACAGGCAGAATAGCTTTTAAATTTTTGAAAGGGCAGAGGATCAGTGCTAGTAAATTAATACTGTACATATGTCTTCATAATAGAATGATTTTCATAATATATCTGTTGGAAAATATTTTTTTCATTTCAGTTAACTACATCTGAATCAAACTGAAGTCCATATAAATTTTATATAGAATTAAAGGGATCCAATTACTTAATGAACAAAGATGTATCGAATGCCAAATGCTCAATTCTGCTCTACTATTTTGCACATGTGTAGGTGGATATGATCTGGAATAGAGGTGGGAAAATCTAATTTGGGAGATAATATGTATACATATTAGAAGATAATTAAAAACTCAAGCACTATAATAATCATAATTTAATTGGTGTACACAATTAGAGATATAAAATTGGCGGAAATTAATAGTTCCTTAAATTTAGATGGTGAAAGACGCCTTACAGAAGAGGTTTCCATTATAAATTCAAACACCATCCTCATTTCCTGCTTCTAAGATACTGCTAATATCTGAAGGAAACTTGTTTTTTAATCTCTATTTCCATAGTTGCCCTTCTGTACTTGTCTTTTCCAGTGGCTTGCAACCTGCTGGAATGGATAAATTCTACTTTAAGACAGGATGTTGAGACAGAAATATTTATATCCATTACCAGTGAGACACAAAATTAGACTCTCAACATATTTAATCATGAATGATTGTTCCAGCACACACATACAGTGACTTTTATCCTGATAGTTCTTGAAACCTTAGATTGGAGACATTTAACAAGCCTTAGCAGCTCTAATAGGAAGAAAAGTGAAAGTCAGGTTTTCTTATAGTTTACTTGCTCTCACAGTGCAAATATATGTGTTTTAAGAGTGTTTCTATAGTTTCTGTAACTACCTTAACTAGATAAACATTACTTTCTTTGTTTGACAGGCTTGAAGGTCTGCAGCCCATGCTAATTTGTTTCCATTTCACATCACTTCTTTTTTAAATTGGCACAAAATAGCTGCATGTGTTTTTGTGGTATATGTGGCATTTTAATACATGTAAATAATATGTAATGATCAAATCAGTGTAATTGAGATGTCCATCACATCAACTATTTATTTTTACTTTCTGTTTGGAACATTCCAGTTCTCTTCTAGCTATTTTGAAATAAACAAGAATTTATTGTTAACTATAGTTACCTTACTGTACTATCAAACACTAGAATTTATTCCTTCCAACTGTATTTTTGTACCCATTAATCAGTTTTTCCTAATTCCCCACCCCTTTTCAGCCTATGGTAACCATTACTCTCTACTTCCATGAGATCGCCTGTTTTAGCTCCCACATTTAAGTGAAAAGGTGATAATTGTCTTTCTGTGCTTGTCTTATGTCACTTATAGTAATAACCTACAGTTACATCTATGTTGCTGCAAATGGCAGGATTTCATTCTTTTAATGGCTGAATAATCTTCCACCACATTTTTCATTATTCATTCATCCACTGATGTGCACTCCGGTTGATTCCATGTCTTGGACACTGTGAATAGTCAGTAAATCACCTTTTAATGAAGAATTGAAAACTGCTTCTACTTGTTTCTCTTTGTCTTGCCTGGCATATCTTATGCCTTCAAGATATTTGGCATTACACTTAAGTCTTTCTGAGGAGGAAAAGATTGAATGAATAATCATAGTAAATTATCTGATCATAACTTTCCACATACATGATGCTCCTCACACTTACAAAGTAGCTTATTCTTTAAATATTATTCCTTTCCCTTGGAAATCTATTAATAAAAAAATAAAAATTGAATCTAATATTACAATATTGTGATCTTTCTTTTCTATGGCACCAAGTGTTATATTTATTATTTTGTCATATTGATATATTATTACAACTCATAGTATTTTAATTATTAATAACTAATAACTATATTTTATACACATCAGGTGTGGAAGAGGTGATTCATGTTTAATTAGAGATTAGCAAAACTCCCTACATATCATTAAAGTTTATGTGACTCAAATTAGATTACAGGGGTAAGAAAACAATATTGTCTTGACCCAGTGCTGGGAAAATAATAAATATTTCAGTAGATTTAAAATCAAATCAGAAGAAAAGTCATTTTTAACCTTGTTAGTGGGGTAAGTTTTACTGACTGGGGAGATTCAACTGGGCACTTGGGAAATATAGGAGCACAGAGCTTGCAGCTGGCAAGTGAAATAGGAAAGACACAAATCAGAGTTAAGATGCTGAGTCGTCAGCAAGCTGGTTCTCAGGTAAATGATAAGGAAGTACAGTAGTTGAGATAAGACAGAGAACACAGTAAGAGGGACCTTAAGCCAGACCGATAAGCGGCCTGTGTATGGGCAGGAGGAAAAATATGGGCTGAGGAACTTTAAAGAATGATGAAACAGAGCAGTTTAAAAATGTTAGATTTGGGCCGGGCAGGGTGGCTTACATCTGTAATCCCAGCACTTTGGGAGGCCGAGGCGGGTGCATCATGAGGTCAAGAAATCGAGAACATCCTGGCCAACATGGTGAACCCTCGTCTCTACTAAAAATACAAAAATTAGCTGGGTGTGGTGGCATGTGCCTGTAGTCCCAGCTACTCGGGAGGCTGAGGCAGGAAAATTGCTTGAACCCGGGAGGCAGAGGTTGCAGTGAGCCGAGATCGCAATACTGCATGCCAGCCTGGGGAACAGAACAAGACTCCATCTCAAAAAAAAAAAAGAAGATTTGATCTTTTAATACTGTTTTTTAAAAATGTTCTTAATAAATTAACATATCTCCTATTTAAGTACAAAAATGGGCAAAACTAATCTATCAATCTACAAGTCAGGATAGTGGCTACCTTTATCAGAAGCAGTTAATGACTGGTAGGTGGCATATGGGGTACTTCTTGTGGTGGTAATGTTTTTCAATCTGGATAACCTTAACAGGAGTGTATTCAGTTAGTGAAAAATTTATTTTTACATTTACTAGGTGTGTACTTTTTATGGATATTACACTTAAATGTTGTAACATTTATATATTAATGTTATATTTATATTACCATAGAAGCAATAAAGGTTTTTTTTTTGTTTTTTTTTTTTTTTCTTTAGGTGGAGTCTTGCTCTGTCACCAGGCTGAAGTGCAGTGGTGTGATCTCAGCTAATTAAAACCTCCACCTTTCGGGTTCAAGGATTCTTCTGCCTCAGCCTCCCAAGTGCTGGGATTTCAGGCGTGAGCCACTGTGCCTGGCTTCAATAATGGTTTTTAAAAGTAAGGTAAGACATGAATGTATTTAAAATGAAATTCACCTCTGCAGTGCATCTCTCCTGAGTAAATAGTTGGTAGGTACCTATCAAGCACTGGGAGATGAGCTAGTGCTACAGAATGGCTTCTGTACTAGCTGACCAGTGCTCAGAGAGCCTCTGTGGATCCTCTCCAGCCCACCTCTGTGCTTCATCCTGTGTTAGTAGTCTCAGCACCTTACTAATACCAATAAGAAGAAAGCTTCGTCATTGTGTGGTGGGCAGGGATGGATAAACGAAATACAACAATGGCTTTGATGTGTCTCCACTCCTAGTACTGAGGTAGGATATCTTCAAATACTGGATCATCTTGCTCGAAATAGATTTGGCTAACAGTATATATTTGCAATCCCTGATGGACAAGAAAGTGATGGTGTTTTGCCTTTCGATCCTTTTGTGGTCATGGTGGTTGTTTTAAATCATGGACATACGATTAAAATGTTTAAGTTGGGTCTTAGTAACTTAGGATCTGAGATTTATTGCTGTTGCCTTCCCACCACCCACCCACATGTGCTTTACATTACAATGATGCTCTCATTGATCCTGTCTTCAAAGTGCTATTATATCAGGAGTGAAATCTTTATTTCTCATTAGCTTATTCCTTCAAATAAGATGAGACATGGTGTGGCAGCTAATTGTATGTGTTAATTTGACTGGACTAGGGGTGCTGATATAGCTGGTCAAATATTATTCCAGGTGTGTTTGTGTTTAAGATGAGATGAATATTTGAATTGACAGAATGAGTGGAGCAGATTTTTCCCTTCTAATGTTATACTCCTTATCTAATCAGTTGATGGCCTGAATAGAACAAAAAGACTAATCTTACAAAGAGCAAGGAGGGGATTTCTCCTGCCAGATTATTTGAAGTGAAACATGAGACTTTCCTTGCCTTCAAACTAGAATGGAAATGTTGGCCCTTTTTTGGTCTTGAGCCTACTTGCTTTTGAACTGGAACTTATACCATCAGCTTTCCTGGATCTCCAGCTAGCCAACTGCAGATCTTAAAACTTTTTAGCCTTCATAAATGTGTGAGCCGATTTCTTACCCTGTCTTCACTTCGCCCTCCTCTCTCTCTCTCAACAGAGAGGTAGCTCCTGTTGGTTGTGTTTCTCTGGCAAAGCTTAACACCTGTGGTCTATATGGTCTAGTAACTACAGTCTCAACAACTATAGCTTATTTATGTAGAGACAAGGGACAAGTTTATGATAGCTAAAACAAAACAAAGTCAAAATATTATTCTGGCCAGACTATAGTAACCAATATTGACTATATTTTATCTATAATACCTTTTATTTTAAAACACAGCTATATTAGCTATTTTACAAAGGAAATAAAAACAACAATACATTTAATAGAAAAAAAAAATCTCCCATAGTCAGGGTCACACTGTCACTGAAGTTTAGATAATCACAAACAGAATTTTAAAAAGATAATGGTTTTCTCCAGTGTACATGCTGCTAAAGGAGGGAGAACTTTGTTCTTCTGGCGTAGAGCCAATGAGTGTTTGGTCATCCCTATTAAAAGAAGTTGGAGTGACAGGTGGAGTGACCTATTTGAGAAAGTTTCCATTTTAGTTAGAACCAAGAGTGGGGTCAGGAAAGGACTCTGCACGCTATTTAGACCTCACTAGCAGGGAGAATGAGACTTAGTGGTGCTGGCTATCTATTTTCAGTAAAGTCGAGTAACTTCCGCCCTGGTGTGGGTAGTATTTATTCTATCATTTGGCTGTTTTAGAGTAAAAATGGCTTCAAAGTATTCTTATTCAGGATGAAGAGAAGTCAATTTAAAATTTCAACTTATTCTGGAAAGGCTTCAAACACAAAACCTAGAGAACATTTTAGAAAAAAAATTGGAAAGACTAGAGAGTCACCTGTTTGATCTAAGTTGTATAGTACACCCTTACTTTTTAATTTAGAGCTTATACAGAGAATGTATTAGCTAACTTAAATGAATGCATATATATAAGGAGTGGTACATTACCTTGTTGATTTGTAAAAGTTTTTAACTACATGTTAATTAACTGAAATCAGTGCTTTAAAATGCTAACTCCCTGGCTCTAGTACCTAATGCAACTACAAAAGGCAAAGAGCCCCAAATAGAAACTTACCAAACTCTAACCAAGTCTACTTAAATTGTAACAATATCAAATGTTACACTAGTTTAATAGACTTTGTAACTTTTCAATGAATGTTAATCAAATATTTTTACAGAAAACATGCTTAGTGTCATAGGATATATTGTATTCTTCAACTCAAAATAATAAAATTTTTCTTTGGGTGGATAGCATAATTATTAGAATATAATGCTATAAATATTTTCTCGTTCAGTTGAAGACTTTATACCTAGAAATGCTAAGAAAACAGATTGTACTTAAAATATGTCAATGCTTTTAGTACATAGGAGAGATTTAGACTGTACATTTTTGACATGGATAATTTATGATTTGAAAAAAACTTGAAAGTCTATTAAAGCTATTTATAAACATCACAGTAAAAACAATGGCATGCTATTACACTAGCAAGTAAGAAATATTTCTGTATCACACCCATAACTAATATCTTAAAGCAAAATTTTGGCCAATGGCTAGGAAAACACATTTTCCATTGTTTTAAATGTACACAATTATAAAAGGCACTCACATTTAAAAAGCATCTGGCTAACAACAACAAATGTGTTTTAGTAATCATCTACCTGAAGATGACCTCTAAGCTTTATCTTTTGGACCAGCTTCAGCAATATGGGGAAGACTAGGCACCTCGAATCAAGAGTTTTGAAGGTACTTTGGGTTCAGTGAGAAAGACCAGTTGGCAAGACTGATTTACCAATATTTGCCTTGGAAAACTCGAGGGTAGAAAAAGCGTGGCAGCAACTTTTTAAATTATAGATAAATAAGTTATCTTAATTACTTAAAATAATGAGAGGTATCTATAGCATTAAGTTCTTTGAATTTTCAGAGGAACTCTTCACTGAAGTCATCAGAGTTTCTTCAGAGTTTGTGCAGAGGAATTTAAACCTAACATCCTGGTAGATGACGTGGTAGAAGAAATGAATGGGCAGTTGTCCCTTTACTGTATAAACAGTACAGATTTAAAAGAAAAATTTAGATGAAGCTTCTGTAAGTTGATAAAACACAGCAATGGAAAAGATGTAGAGATGCAGGTATTTATTCTATTGGTGGGAGTATAAAATAGTACAATTTTTAGGGAGCATAATCAAAAGATACTAATCAAAATGTATAATATGCAAACTCTTCAACTTCGTTATTCTGTTTCTTATGTTTTATTCTAAAGCATTAATAAACAATTTAGTGTATTATTAATTAAAATAGCAAATTTGTAGGCAATTTAAATGTTTTACCCCAGGAAACAGGGAACAAATAGGATTGCAACATGCAGTTACAAAGCTAGTATATTGATAAGGCTGTCGAAGTTATGTTAAAAAGGGTAAGGCTACACAGACATCAAAACTGTTGGACTAGACTTAAAAATCAAAAGCAGGATAAGAAAAAAAATGGAGTGTTCTTTTTGTATAGTGGGTGCTAGATTTGCTGCTACTTTCCTGGGGACTCTCTATCTGATTTCTCCAAGCACTTGAGGGCTCTCTCTGGCCTCAGAAATATGCATGGCAGCCCTGAAGCGCCAGGACGTTAATACCCGTAAGTACACTGTCAGCCAGTAATGGGTAGGAATGTATGAATAAATATTCCAGCTTCCTCACACATTGGGTGGGACAATTCTGAACCATGTTCTCTGCAGTTTCTCAGATGTTCCCAGTAGGACTGATCCTGTGTCTCTCATAGTGGCAATTTACCCGTTAATGCCCCCAGTGGGCTGTCTTTTCACTGCATGTTATTTATCTACACATGCTTCTGGTTTACCTTCCAAATAAAATGATTTGCACTTCAGTCCTCACTTAGGGTCTGCTTACAGAAAAATCCAAACTAAGGCAATGTTTTATGTGTATTATATAGTGTGTGGGGGGATGTGAGTGTGTGTGTGTGTGTGTTGCGTGTGGTATAAGGCAGTATGAGAATATAAACCAAAATGTTAACAGCACATCTCTGTGCAATAGAATTAGAAGTCATAATTTTCTGTGTTACATTTTGACTCTGTTCATCACAAGGAAGATTTGTGGACAAGAAAGGCAGTACACTGGGCCTCCCGGGTATAGTGCATCCTAGACTGAGCAGAGATATACTCTAGATGGGAGAAAGAAGATGTTTGCAGTTCATCTGCTGCCTTCCTGCAGTGGGATTGCCCTTTTTGTTCTGCAACTTGGCAGGATACAGGCTGAAGGTGTGGTCTCTCGGGGCCTGCAGTGAGGAACTGGAGCAGGCAAATGTAAAGGAAATGAGGTGGATCTGTCATAAAAGCAAAAGAAAATCAAGCTTCCTGGCTTTCCTAAAGCATGTCAGTTTAGCACACAGTAAGAATGACTTAGTAAATTCTTTTCCTGCTAGAGGACCCTTTCTGTCATCTTGACTGCTGTTTTTTATAATTGCTTTTAAAAAGGACTATGTGATTCTTAAAAAAAATTGAAGTCTATTAAAATAGATATGAGTATACATATCAATATCATATTATGGCAAAGGCATATTCATTAGTGTGGTGTAGGTTCAAATGAAGAAATGTCAACAGTGAATATATACAAATTTGAAGGAATAGAACTGCAGATTATTTAGACAACCTCCATTAATTTTCTTGACATATGAAAGACAATGATTTATTACCATATCTCTATGCATATTATGTTATGATTCTCTACTCACTCCCTAATAAGAAGATATGTTTTTATTATAAAAATTAGATATATATTGCTCTGAATTTGATTTTCACTCATTAAAATAACAAACTGAAGAAAAAAATAAAAGCTATATATTTTTATTTATTATTCACTAGTGTCATGGATTGGTAATTTTACCTTATTAAGCATTAATGTCCTGTTTATTCCACTTAATTCTAAATAAAAATTTGGCGTGACTTTTTACTAACTAAAATTACATGTGATCCTAATATCATATTCTCCTCCAGAATTTAGTAATAGCTGGAAAACACAGATTAGTGATGAGTCAGACTTGCAAATGCATTACCTGTAAACCATACCTATTCAGATCTTTTGCCCACTTTTTAATTAGATTATTTATTTTTTGCTATTGAGTTGTTTGGTTTCCTTATATATTCTGATTGTTAAGTCTTTGTCAGTTGAATAATATGCAAACTAGACAATATTTGGACATTTATGTGGAAAATATACAGTAAAGTTTTTTGATGCTTTGACAATGGAACAGAATAATATTAACTGCAGAATAAAATTTCATTACCTTTGTCAGGGTGATTACAATGCACTATTCTATTTAGTCAAAGTTAAAGTTGTAGCTACATGACTACTGAATAATTCCATAGGGAAAAACTTGTGTTTAAGAAACATGATTAATTTAAAAATGTTTTGGGAGTAAAAAGAGAAGGTGGAGCAAGGTGGCTGAATAGAAGAAGCCTCCACTGATTGTCCTGTCTGAAGGGACACCAAATTTAACAGCTATTTACACAAAAAAATCACCTTCTTAAGAATCTAAAAGGTTAAGGGTCACAGTACCTGGTTTTAACTTCATATCACAAAAAAAGGCATTGAAGAGCCTAGAAAAGAGTCTTAAATTGCCAGTGCTAACCCTGCTGCATCCCCTGGCAGCAGACACATGGCACAGAGAGAGAATCTATGTGCTTGCAGGAGGGAAGCACAGTGATTGAAGGATTTTGCACTGGAACTCAGTGCTGCCCTGTCACCACCAAAAGCAGCAGTGGGCAAACAGCTGGCACCCACTGAGGAAGCATTTAGACAAGCCCTATCCAAAGGGGAGTTGCCCATTCCAGTGGTTGGAACCTGAGTTCTAGCAAGCCTTTCCCCTGTGGGCCAGAGTGCTGTGGGATCCTAAATAAACTTGAAAGGCAATCTGAGCCGCAAGGGCTGCAACTCCTGGGCAAGTCTTGACCCTGGGGTCAGAGCCAGTGGACTTGGAGAACCATGCAACCT